GTGTAGCTGAAAGCGCCAAAATAAAGCTACATATTTTATGTTTTTCTGTCTTCAATGGCCAGGAAGATGGAACTCTCTAACGATGAGATCTGGAATAAATACCTAAAGACAGGATGGATTGGGCTCAGCAAGAGGCCAGACTTAACCGTAGCTGGAGAAATTATAGCAGGCTACAACCTAAAGGGAAAGTTCATGGAACTGTACGTTACCAAGCAACAAAAAGCATTGAGGGAGAAATGTATTAAATTGAACAAATCACTGCCCCCGTAGCATTCAAGAAATTTTCCTTGATGAATCACTTTTAATTTTTGAGAAAGAGCCATCTCCAAAACAAATGACACATCATCAATAACTGTTGCGGAGGCTTGTCCAAAAAGGCTGAAATCGATGTTTGCACTCGCCCTAGAGTTAATCCCCTAGATGAAGTGGAACTGGGCGAACGGATGCGATATTTGATGAGTTGTGAGTAGAAGCAAAGGGAAATGGAGTATCCCAAACTCAGTTACTTGATTTAATATGACATAAAGAGAAGAAAAAAAGATTGATGTTGGCATGAGGCTGTTTACAGATGAGCCGTTTAATTACTTCCTTCAATAAGGGATGGTGACCATTTAGATCTGGTATGGAAAGAGCCCGACCCTACCCAGTCCGGTCTTGAATCAGGCCGCTTTCAGCCTGCCCTAGTCTGGTACACAGGCTTATCTGACCTGTGCCCTTTGAAGTCATTGAGATGCATCAGTTTATTGCCCCTCACAGAACACCAAGAGCTGAACAAAAGGAGACTTACTAGATTATAGCCGACTAACAAGAATTGGCCGAAACGTTACTCCTGCTGCTGGCTCGAAGTGGATTGTATTGTTTCAACTATTAACTGGTAGACATTTAGGTGTGGTATTTTTCACGTTTAATGCTGCATGCAATAAGGGCACTCCACGAATGGATGAATGGATCGGGCTCTCCACAAATGGATTGGACTTGGTCCGGATTTTTTTTAGCTGGACATGATTTTCGGATGAGTACATTTATGTTCTGCCTGCCAGGTGGACCATCTTACGTCAGCGTGGAACATCGGCAGTTTTCGGACATGTCTTTGCTGGAAGGACAAACCTTTCAATGAAAAAAGGCGTCACGATTTTCAACTTCATTATACCAAACAGGGACAGAATGACTCGTATAAACATGTATACAGGTGTATGCGTGTTATACTATGGTAGGAAACGTTTATACATTCTACACATTTGATAACTCAAACCTCATCCGGATTTCGAGCCAACGAAAATTCCTGAGTCTTGTTCACATGTACATGCGCGTGATCAAAACACTAGTACTAGCGCCCACGGTGGCTACTGGAGACATTTTAAGTGGTTGTTTCCCTATATCCAACAACAAATTCTTCTAAAAATCATCAGTTTGCCGAGATTTCATGTTTTTATTATGTGTGTAAAATGTTCTATTCTACTAATTAGTATAACAGAAACCACCAAAACTGTGTACTTTTTGGTGACATTTCTCTCTCGCAAACCGCGGTGCGATACGTACAGTGCTTACTTGATTGGCCAGTGCCGGGCACGGGGTTTTTCTGTTTGATCACATGATCATTTCTTTTCAATCGCTTGAGGGCTAACCATTTGCATTTCAAAACGTTTGAGTATAAAAAAATAAATTTTCTTTGTCTTTTTATTCCTTCACTTTTCCCTTTTTACCTTTTCAAAAAATTTGAGTGATATTTGGCAACGCAAAACAGCACATTCCCAGCACTGCGCTGGGAACGCATGTCCATTGCGTTTACACATGGGCTGTGACAAGCAATGCTCAAGTGCTTCAGCTGCAATTGGGCAGGCAGCAGAGACCAGGCTTTAGCCGCGCCATGCACAAAGCTTCTTTCGGATTGGCCGCATGGCCACTACAAACATGGGGGTACATTTGGGCTGGGACAACAATCAGGCTTGCATGAAAGGTAGGATCTTTAAGGCAGTGGTCGAGACAAAAATGCTAATCCGCTCAGCAATTTTCACTGCGGTTTTGCAAGCGATGACTTGGTGACTCTGTTTCTTGTGCCGCTAGACGACAATAGGTGTTGTGATGTCGCGGCATCAAAGGAGTTTTGATCACAGCAGGTCTGGTCCGAAAGAGGTGTTTTTTGGGGGGGGGTTTAAGCTGAACATGAACAATTATTGGTGAACCTGACTTTAAAATAGATCCCTTCCCACCAATTACAAACCAACGGAAATTCCCCAATTTCAACGCCCTCTTACGTCCGGTCCTTATATGAACTGGTTCTCAAATTAATTACTTACGTGCAACGTCGGTACCAGTTACCAGGGAGTGCTTTGCCGGGCCACGCCGCGTGCGTACAGCGCAGGGTGACTGGCCACTTACAACCTCTGTTCTCTGCTGTTGCGTCCAACAAGTAGGCGTATTCAAAATCATGGTTTTAATTCATACAAATCATATTTCTTTATATGATTTAAAATTTATTAACAAGTTAAAGGCCGTACATCAAATACTAATCCACTGCATGTACTGTATCGTACGGTACATGTAGGTCTGCAGTACATGTACATTGCGGTAGTGTATAACAATTCTTGCTGGTGCATGACACCAGACTTGCGCTTTATGAATGGGATAAGTGTCAACACGTATAACACAAGGTTTACCGTAAGACAAGGTTTTTTGGAGAGTCCCTTCGTGCTTGTATTAAGCGTGTTGGACTGTACATGTATTTTGATGCACCTGACAAACCATAAGTGATGAACAGACCATGTGGTGGGACTTTATATGTGTAACACATATCAAGTTAACAAATAATAGAAAGGTTAGGTTAGGTTTTTCAGAGTATGGACTTTTACAAATGTTTCTATTGTAAAATGTGTCCCAGAGGGACTTAGCATTAGATTTCACCACAGAGCATCTAAAGTTGAAAATTTCCCTGGCCAATTTGCCATAAAAGGGCTTCGTGCTGCACTCTCATGAATTCCAGCTTTTTTCATTTTCTGAGAATCTCATCCCTGACCCCCTACACACAAACATATTATAGTGAGTGACAGACCAGTTCCTGACCCAATATTGGAGGTGAAACGATATGGGAAAGTCAGAGTTTCTGAAACCAGTCTAGGTACAGTGATGCCTTCGGTCCGCAAGTTCTGCATTGGTACATAATGTCGCATCATAGAGATCGATCAGTAGTCAAAATAACTTGCATTTTGCCGGACTGGTGC